GAAGTTCTCTCAGTCCAAGTCGTCATCAGAAAGTTATAATCAAAATATAAAATATAAGCTGTGATACTCGCTTAGTTTCATGCACAAAGCTCAAATTTCTCGTTATTTATTCATTGTGGAAAAATTTATCAACGGGTAATCCGAGACAAACAACCGCTAATAACTTGCCCAGGATCATTCCATGTCTGATAGCGCCGAAACTCGAACACAGTACCTTAGGGGCACGTGCCAAACAACTTAACCACACAGCCTTTTAACGTATAGTACCTCTAATCTTCATTAGAACTGGTTTTAGTGCACGTCAGTTATTCGTCTGAAGGAGGGCTGTCGCTTTTCGAAAAGTCGTCATAAGGAATAAAATATGAGTAAAACATACATTAAATAAAACTAAGTAAAAAAGTTGGTGTAAAGGAATAAAACAACGTTTCTTTTGATTAAAACTTCAATTGTTGAAGATATAAAAGAAAAATCTTGACTGCAGATCTTAGAAATTCATTAGACATTTCTTAAGTTTCACGCGAGACCTCTGAAAAACTTCTGCAGATTAGTGAACCTGTCAAGATTTTGTACTGAAAGTAATAGCGCAAATTTTCTACACAAATATTCACCAACATTTTTCCACTCTTGATCGGTTTTGATGAAACTTTTCGATAATGTGTATGTTCAAACCAGAGACGTGCAATCCACGGGTTATGCCCTGCGGGGCTCGCGGGGCCCCGTGGCTACGGGCGGGCGGGGCAGTAAGTTTCTTGAAACGCACGGGGCGACGAGGCACCGGTTTTGATTGACACACGGGCGGTCTGGAACGGGTAAGTACCGAAGTTCAACACACGGGGCGCGGACGGGTGACCAAATTTGTCCATCGCCCGCGCAGGACCGTGAGAAGCATCAATAGATGTCGCTCTTCTACAATTTTAATTTCCGCAAATATTTATTGGTATCTTACTTCCAAGCAATCGAAAAAAGAGCCCAGTCGTTCTTTGTGTCTTCCATATTTTCCATCATTTCAAACTCTTTTCACCAAGTGAAAAGACATTAAAATTCTTTTGATTTTTGAAAATCGATATTTTTGAAAGCTTCTTCTAGTTTATCAATCCCAATGATCGAAATAAATGATTTATCATCGGACGAATCTCCTGATGTTATTTTATCAACAGCAACTGGTCATTCATCAGCAGATGCTGGTGGTTCACTACCTGAATGCTCAATTGGTGATATAAAGTACGATACATCGAATATCAAAGTTTTCTTGAAAAATCAATCAGGAAAATATACACTGGTGGGTAATCCTAGAGTAAATACAGTTAAACCATCTGCATGTTGGACTCGATTTGCTCTTCCTGCAGTTAAAGATGAAAACCATCGAAATATCATCATCAAAAAATTTGCGTGAATTTGTGTGATGAATGAAAAGTCTCACAGGTCACACGGGTGCGGGCGAGACCGCGTAGCAAAATCTACTTATATAACGTCTATTGTCACGGGGGTGGGCGGAACGGGTTAGAGGAAAATTCTACGGAGCACGGGCGGGGTTATTTGAACCAGTGGTCCACGGGGACGGGTAGACGGAAGTCACGGGACGGGGCACGCGGGGCATGAAAATTCCTTGCCCCGCACATCTCTGGTTCAAACGCACAGAACTGAAAAAAGATGTGAGCTTAATAGTTCTTCATCTTTTCCAGTTATACCTAAAATATGACCAAAAATGAACTTCGCCGCTAGTTTTTTTTTGCTGAGTTTTGAATTTTTTTGCTTAATTAATTTGTATAGTCATTTTGAATAAAGGACTCAGAACTCCAAATTTCTGTCAAAAACTTGAATCTTAGGACGGATTAAAATAAAAATAATTTGATAGAGTTTGAAAAAGTAACGTTCTTCTGCGGAAATACTTTATGCTTTTTGTTATACAGCGATCAGTAACATACAAAGTAAGTTAAATGACTTATTAAGTGACAAATCCTTTCATTAACAATAGAACGCTCGTAGCTGTCATTTTGACCGTTTTTTGATTTTTATTCCTAATAAAACAAACGTCATACAATTTATTTAAAAATAAGTCATGTCATAACTTTTAATTTGTTCCACAAAAATTACTTTTTTGCACAATTTTTAATTATAAAATTCAAAAAAAAAACAGTAATGGTCAAAATGGGCTTTGGGCGTTCTAGGTCATGAAAATTTCCCGGCATTCTAGTATTAATATGAGTCCATCATGAACTTTTTTATGAAAATAGAACTTCGAAAAGACAGTTAAAACCTTTATGAAAGTATTCAAATCTGTAAAGTAGTCTGATCTGAATTTCATTTTCAGCAAATCACCGTCACTAGATTCAGAGCTGCATAAACTGATCACTAGTTTTATCTCTGAATCAGACGATACATTCTAATGACGTCGAATTTAGTCCCGCAGCTTTTCAGACTAAGCTGATTCTCTGTCTGTTAGTATTATTTCACACAATAAAAAAATATTAACTTTTGAGCTCCAATCTATTTTTCTGTGGAATCCCTTAGAAAATGTTGTTCACATCATATTAAGATTTGTATAAATTATGAAATAATCTTTTTAAAGCTGATGACTCCACTATACATGAATTTAAACTCTTTGTCAGATTTGTCAGTTAGGCTCAAACTCTTGTTATAATCATTAACTAGAAATAAAACGTTTTTTCCGTACTGTTCAATGTGTTTACTGATAGGCATATAGAAGTCACATATAGGAGTCGTATGGAAGATGTGAACAAGAAAGACTCTAGTAGTCACAGTATCCCACCTTCCATGTGTTTCTAAGTTTTTAATCAAAGTCCTACACGAAATGTCAACGTAAAAGGCTAATAAGACTAAGAACTAATGTGCCTGTATGGTTCAGTGGTGACCACATTCGTCTCGTAAGCACATAGACCCAGTTAAAATTTTGACAAGAACAAAAAGATTTGTAATGCATCTTTTCTAAAACACACATCAAATCGACTTCAAAAAAGACGCTAAACTTGGAGTGACACTTTTCCAGTTACTCGGTAACTTCACTAGTTAGTTACTTCGTTAGTACTAATGAACTTAGTTACTTTTTTACTAGCAAAGAGTAACTCATTTCGTTACTAGTAACGAGTAACTACTGTCGTTACTTAGTTACTTCGTTACTTTCGTTACTAGTTACAAGTAAAGTAAAGGTAAAGTGACACCCCTAAGCTAAAATACGACTAAATGGGATCCGACTTTTCAAGACCTCTTTCTTCGGTCTTACAGATAAGACTGATAAGTTCGTCTGGCTTCATATAATACGGAAGAAAAAAAATTAGACTAATACAGGAGTAAGATGGATAGAATAAGTCGGATTTATTTTTAGAGTCTAATCAAAAATATGTTGGGTCATCTATTACAAATTTTCAGTAGGTTTTTAAAGTTTTTGTTGAGTTATTTGAATTCGTCAGTCTAATCAGGATCAAGAGAATAAAAATAAAATGTGAATATATTAAATTCCTTAAACAAACAAAAATTTACACCTACCTAATATATCTGAAATTTGCTCACTTGAACAATTTTTAATTAATTGTGTTGAAAAATTTGATTTAATATGTTGAATATATTGTTCTGTGCAATCATAATCAGTTGTATGATTAATCATATTCATTGTTAATAATTTTGTATGATTATTTAAATTTTGAACAGTATATAAGAACCAAGTATAGGATAAATAACGATTATTTTCTTTTGAACAGTATAATGTTAAACCGAAAAATTCAAATAAATATGCTATAATAAATGCAATGAATATCCATATACATGGTGAATAGGTTTTTCTAATAACAAATTTTATTTTTTTCATAGATTTTTCAATTTGTATACAACGTTGAATACTAACAATCGTCATTAATATTAATGAAAAACGTATATAAGTTTCAAAATGTATAAATGGAATAAATAGTACATGATATTTTTGTGTAATTAAACCAAAAAATTTTACAATGGAATCAAATGATAAACATTTACCATAATCTTTTATATAATGTTTAAATAGCGTTTTTTGATGATAAAATAATTTTATTAAACGTAGAGTAAAATAAATTATATCAGCAAATAATAATGCAATAAAATAATGTGTTATTATACGTGAACGAAATTTATGTCTTAAAAATACAGTTATGCACAATAAATTTGGAAATGTACCACAAATAAAAAGCATTAAACTGATTAGTGTACAAAACATGGCCTTATTTTATTAATGAAAATTTGATGAAATAATTCTGCTTCAAGTTTAAATCACTGGTTCACAATATAGCGGTCGATGTTGATATCAGTCCATTATGTCGACCTACGTAACATCGCCATACAACATTGTTATACCTCTGATAAAATGTAAGATGAAAAATTATTTTGTGTTAGATGTTATCTATTATTATCGAAGTTCATCTCTGTTAAATAGAGAGTGAAATTAAAACGTGAAGCCGATGTCCAATCTAGTGTACTTGAGGTCGAATACTTCGTTACCTCCAAATTTTCAAAAGTACCTGATTAAGTATTTCTGAATTTCATACCTACTAACGAGGGACCTTTTCCAATTGTCTAATTGCTTTCTAGTCGAAACCTAGTGGGCTATAGCTTATTGACCACGCCAATTCCGAATATCCATATGAAATGGACCGCTAGGTCTTCCTAGAGCGGTTTTCCAGAAACCTCGAAAAGTCCCTAAAACTTTCTCTTAATAGATCACGATTGTAGTCCACGGACTTCTGATCAAAATGAGACATCTGCCACCTCTACATGACCTTTGTTTGCAAAGTTACAGAATTTACAAGAAAAGCTCTAAATTAATTTCTTCTTATTTCTGTGGCTCTGAGGTGACAATGAACATTTTAGGGCTTTTCTTGTAAATTCTATAACTTTGCAAAGAAAGATCATGTAGAGGTGGGAGATGTCTCATTTTGGTCAGAATTTCGTGGACTACAATCGCTATTTATTAAAGGAAAGTTTCAGAGGATTCTCGAAAACTGGTTTTCGAGAAAAACCGCTCTAGAAAGGCCTAATGGCCCGTCCCATATGAATGTTCGGAATCAGCGTGGTCGATAATCTATAACCCACTAGGTTTCGATCAGAAAGCGACTAGGCAGTTGGAAAAGATTCTGCTACTACCAGAAGTACTACTAACGAACTTTGAATCGTTATCATAGGCGACGTATCCGTTGATAACTAGTAAGACTCAACATTGTTTTTTGCTAGAAGGTAGTATGACTTTATGAAAAAAAAAGTTCTCGTTCTTGTAGTGTGAAATAATTTTTCCAAGAGCTTGCCTCTTTGAATACATGAATAGGCATTAAGCAAAGAAAAATCTTTTTTTTCTCTAAACTTAGTGAGACTTAAGTCTATCAAGCCTCATGACTCCGCCGCGAACATACATTTCGCAAGAACTTACTACGTATCTGTATTTGTTAATCTAATTCATAAGTTGAGAAAACTTCTGAAAACTCTGGATATTATTTCTCCTAGATACTTGTAAAATTTTATTCACTCATGTAAGAAGAAAAATATCGGATAAAACTGAGACTGTTTCTTATCCTTATCATATAAGGAAAGTCTTAAATAAATCATAGTAATACGATTACTAATCATTTACAATTGAAACAATAGTGTAGAAAAAGTGGTTATTCAAACTTTAAACGACAAACGATATCTTATTCCATAACTCACATCAATTCTTCAATTCGCAGCAAATCTGATGCCAGGCTTGAACGATCGAAGAATCTTGCTTGCCTCCCATTTAAAAAAAACACATTGGACTTTAAATTATGCGAAAAACAAATATACTGAACTTTCAAACTTCCAAACTGACTTTTCAAGAACCTTTCATCATTCTGCTACATTAATAAGAAATTTTTGACCATATCTCCTTATCAAAAGTCGCTCCTCAGTTTGCGAATGGTGATCACAAATGTCCATCGCTTTTCTACCAAAAATTGTTTAAAAAATAGTCTTCTATTTTGAAACAGACAGTAGTGGAATGGATTAAAGATCGATGTTTCGATGAGATACCTCAGATGAACTGTTAACAATGTGCACATCATTGTGAACAAATGGAATGTTTCATGTAGAAAATATTGCTCCTGTTGAATGACAGAGTATTGCAAGAATACCTTCAGATACCTTTTTAAGATTTCTTATCTCAGTTCCATAGCAAGTTAAAAAATGTTAGTCGTTTACTTACTTTAGTAAGAAGTGAAGAAATTCGTACGAATCATAATAACACGTTTTCTCTGTTCTACTTTTCAAATTATTAAATGTTGTTAAATTAAATTCTAAAAGTACTTTTTATAATCTTCGTTTATAATTAGATTCACTTATAATTTACTGTCAACGCAAGCTCTTTTATTCATTCAAATGGTGAAAACGTCTAATTAGATCCTTCTTCAAAAGAAAATTACTATTATTTATCTTCTTCGAATGAAGAACATGACAGTATACAGAAAAAAATCTTTTCACCTTTTTATATAGTTGATTGCATGTCTGAAACTTGAAATAGATTCAAAATTAAAGAAATAAGCTAGATTGGTTTTATTGAATTAAAACAGAGATTACTTCATGATTCAAGTAGTCACAAAGAGCCAAGAACTCAGTAGAACAACTGATTTCTCTTGGGTTCAGTGGATATAATTCTTTTTTGTACACATTAGAACAATAAAGCATGTACGTAATTTTGTTGAAAAATGAGCAGTTTGAACAGCTTACTATAGTAGAAAGAAGTAACATTGACAAATGTGATATATGATGTTGTGATTTGAATTCGATATAATGAAAAGCAACATAAAAGTAGCGATATAAGCAAATATTTTGGGTTTATTGATATTTAAAATGACTTTTCGGATGTGGTTAAAATATAAATCAATTCTTGATTATAATCATCTTAAAACGTATGTGTGTACTTCAAAAAGCTAAGCTAGAAATCATAAACAAAAGTCTTCTCTATTCTGACTTGGAGAGGGAGAGAGAGAGATATATGGTTTTCTATTGCACTGTGATGATAACTCGTAAGTTTGCTTTCTTTACTCCAAATATATACACAGGCGACAAGCTCTTTTGGTCATATCCGGTAAGCTGTTTTTTCACTTATTTGATCATCGTAAACAACTGATACATGGAAAAAGTGCTGTTTATTCAAAAACAATTAGTAGTGGTAAGTTTAAAACCACGATGACAAGCCTCACTCATTTCATCTTCACTAGCTCTAAAGTTATACCGCTGGGTGTATGTTTCATTTACGAAAACAAAAACATATTCGTTTTTTATTCTGTTTTAGGTTATTATAATCCTAAAATCATCTACTGTCACGTCATTTGTCTTCTTCGTCAAATTGTTCACTTTTCATGTCATCAAAATTAATCACCCACACTACAGGCATGCAATGATTCTTTTTTCAACAAGGAACGGATAAACTGTCGATGTCATTCTGTAGCACCGGATAATTAAAAATATACATTATAATTCATGGTAGATTGACATGGAATGTAGTGGGTTATAGGTTATCGAGGGTGCTGAATTTCAGTGTCAACATGAGACAGGCTTATGGTGCTTCTAGAGGCCGATTTCTGGAAAACCAGTTTTTCAGAAACTCTGAAAAACAACCAAAACTTTTCTTAATGATTCGTGTTTGTAGCTCGCACATTTATGATTAAAATGAGACCTCTCCCAACTCCACATGGCCTTTCTTTGCAAAGTTATAGAATTTACAAGAAAAGCCCTAAATTAATTTCTTCTTATTTCTGTAGCTTTGAGCCGACAATGAATATTTAGGGCGTTTCTTGTAAATTCTATAACTTTGCAAAGAAAGAGCATGTAGAGTTGGGAGAGGTCTCATTTAATCAGAAATGTGCAAGCTACAAACATGGTTCATTAAGAAATGCTTTGGTTGTTTTTCAGAAAATGGCCTCTCTAAGCACCAGAAACCTGTCGCATGTTGATATTCAAATTCAGCACCCGCGATAACCTATAACCCACCACATTCCGTGTCAAAAACAATTTATCGCTTGCATATCTTCCCTCGTCAGTTCGTCTCATATTAGTTTACATTTAATGATCTTTAATATAATTGTTCATACCTCTTGCTTTTAGTGATAAATATGATTGTTCTGGGTGTATAAAGAGTTATATTGGACAAACAGCGAGAGTTGAAAAGCGAAAATAGGAACATAAAGATGCTTTCTGAGGTATTAGTTTCTCAAGGATTGTACGACTAAATAATGAAATAAGTTACATGTTAGTAACATGTAACTTATTTCATTATTAAACACTTTACAAGTGCTTTATTTCTTCTGTGCTTAAAACGAGAGGAAAAATTGTAACGAAAGTTTTTTGTCCGAGATAGTGTAAACTTTATTTTAAATTTCACGTTCGAGGTGGTGTAAACTCTGTTTTTTGCATAGTTACT